ACAATGAAAATAATAATACTGATAGTGATGAGACCACCCTTCCTGGGTGGTTCAATATGCACCCTATAGTACCAGTTACATGGCACATACTCAAGCACATGTTATCATGTTATTTCTCATTTCTTTTTCCCTTTGCAAGTTGCTTTATAATTAGGCAACTTGAGTTTAGAGTGGTCTTTGTGCTTTTTTTTTTTTTTTTGGTTAAGGACATCTTTGGGACATTGGACTCTTTTTCTTTTTTTGAGACAGTCTCACTCTGTTGCCCAGGCTGGAGTGCAGTGGTGCAAATGCAACCTGCTACACATTTTTGCCCTTTCCATACTGCATTACTCAACAAATGCTGGCTGCAGAGCACACATGAAATAAAAACCCCTAAGCTCCCCAACTTAGTAACCATGGGACTACAAGGTAAAATAACGAACTGCCCAATCAAAACACTTCAGGTGGTAGGGCACGTTGTTGGTGGGAGAACTGAACAATAAGTGACTTTCCTTCAAATGTATGGTTAAAAGGAAAATAGAATGTTTTATTTAGGTTCTCTGCTTATTGAATCATACTGTTTTCTTTAAATTCTATGAAAACATTTCAAAAAAACTAAACTGTGATACACATCAATTCTTGTATACAGTGACAGAATGAATCACTTTTCTTGTGTATTTTTAAAGCATGAAACCCTTCTTTTTCTAGAAAGGCATGCTGAAGAAGTCTGGAAACATATCTGACTTCTCCATAACCTGTGTGTGGAGAAAAAATATGTAACTGACAATGATAGCTGCCGATGGAAATTACATGTAAAGCACCAACACAGCAGTTTTCCCACTCACTGTCTTCCACTAGTTCTGTGACAGCAGATGAGACTGCTACTTAGTGGAACAAAACAGGTAGGCTGGGTTTTTCTCAGTTCGTTTTACGAACTACATCTATCTTGACTGACTGTGTTGATGACAAACAATCTGTCTCATTTTATCTTCAATATCACCCAGAGAACAGGGGCAATTAAAGCATAGAGGGTCCAGGCAGGTAAAATGGCCCAGAGAGCACTCTGGCAAATGAGAGGGCATGCATCATGGTGGAAGTGAATACCTGCTACTTAGCCCCTGCAGGCTGAATGTAAGAGATCTGTCAGAAGGGTGCAAGAAATTACAGAAAATGTAAACCTTCTTGGAAGCCCAGAAGGTTTTGCAAAAGCCTTGGAAGAAGTTATGGCTGATGGCAGCCTGATCCTCTTACCTTGAGCTAACAGCAAAAAGCAAATAACAAGGGAATGTTGTGGAGTTTATCTAAATAGTTTGTTTACTCATGTGGTCCTAAGACCAACCTTTGATCATCCGCACAACTGCTCTCTACTGTGTGTGTGTTGGGGGGGGTGGTGTCGGCAATGTTAATTACCCTCTAATGGCGTTTTACTTGAGACCTTTGTCACTTAATCTGTACTAAATAAACGTGAACATCGGCAGCTTATCATGGCCACTGCTGACTCTGGCAGAGATCTCCTGGCTGCACTGACTGGCAAGCCTGTGTCAATGTGCGTTTTTGATCTGTCGCTCAACTGCGTCTGCCAGTTGGATTCAACAATTGAAGTCATACAAGAAAATAAGTCCTTTGTTGCCAGCTTCTCCAATTTTTAAAGAAGCAGCTAGAAACCCAGGTTTTATATAAAAATTTCCATATTTTAAAAAATGTATTCCTAGTTCAATCTTTAAAATGCTGTGTTTGCCAAATGAAACAGTTCTCTGGGTCAGATCACAGAAGAGAGTTGCTGGTTTCCTGTTGAAGGTTGTCCATCAGTGACTGCTGGAATAGTTTAAAACTATAGCTAAGTCTATAAACTGGGTGTACCACCCTGATGGCAATAATGAGCCATGGTAGCCATGGCTTTAGCAATTAGGTATAAATCATAAATGTGGGGCAAAAAAAGTTTTTTAAGTTTACTAATATCACCAAAAGAGCAGATAATTCTTCTACAGATCTTTTTAAAAATCTAAAGTATAGTTTGGAACATTTTTAATCTTTGCTACTGTTAATCACACCTTAGTCTAACCTGTATTTTAACTGCAGATCATGATCACAATACACTTTCTGTCCTCCATTTACTCCTCTATTTTCCATCTCCAATCTTTTCTTAGTTTGAGATATTTAAGATCATAAGACTTACACAGAGATAGAATGAGATAATACATATAATGTGCTTAGAACAATACCTAGCGCACAGGAAGAATTCAAAACTAGAAAGCATCTTCTGTTACCATGAATATTATTTCACTGTCAAAGTCCTCACCAGGCTGGTCTACAGTTTGTGGAAAGGTAGGGTTAACTGTCACAGCTTGGCTGTTAACATAACTTCTGCTTATACAATCACTTCTGTTTCTGCCCTCTTTGAGAATCTGTGTCTTAAATTATCCCCCATCAATTTCAGTTCCCCTGAGGCAGCTGAGAATCTTTTTCACATAAGAACAAAGAAAAACAAAGAGAGGTCTCTGTAGGGCATTTTGTTGCAAGGGAGATAAGGGCCTCCTTCTCTCCTTTTCTTCTAAGAGACAGGGGTACTTTTCCACTTTTTTGTTTCTTTGTGAAATTGACTCATTTTCTCTCCTAAACTAATTACTCCACTGGATAGGTGGGGCTTGAATTTGTACACCATACTACTTATCTAATAATTTTCTGCCACTTGTAATAACTTAATATATAATCCAGTACACCACCTCAGTTATTTTTAAAAGTGCATTATCATTCATTGAAAAGAAGGATATTTTCATATATCTAATAAGGGGTTAATATACAAATTGTTTAAGGAATTCAATGGCAAGAAAACAAACAGCCTGATTTAAAAATCAGCAAAAAATCCTAAAAGGTATTTCTCAAAAGAAGACATACAATGCCAGGCATGGTGGCTCACACCTGTGATCCCAGCACTTTGGGAGGGTGAGATGGTCGGATCACCTGAAGTCAGGAGTTTGAGACCAGCCTGGCTAACATGGTGAAAACTTGTCTCTACTAAAAATACAAAAATTAGCTGGACACGGTGGCATATGCCTGTTATCCCAGCTACTCAGGAGACTGAGGCACGAGAATCACTTGAACCAGGAGGTGGAGGTTGCAGTGTGCTGAGATGGTGCCACTGCACTCCAGCCAGAATGAAAGAGCAAGACTCCGTCTCATAAAAAAAAAGAAAAAAAGACATACAAAAGAGCCAATCAATACATGAAAAAATGCTCCAACATCACTAATCATCAGGGAAATGCCAACTAAAACCATGATGAGATATCATTCCACAACTGTTAGAATGGCTATTGCCAAAAAACACAAAAGATTACAAGTATTGGTGAGGATACAGAAAAAGAAGACCCTTGCATAATATTGGTGGAAATGTAAGCTAGTTTGTGGAAAATAGTGTAGAGGCTCCTCAAAAAAATAAAAAATAGAACTACCATATGACCCAGAAATCCCACTACTGGGTATATATTTAAAGGAAATGAAGTTCGTATGTTGAAGAGATATCTACACTCTCATGTTGACTGCAGCGTTATTTACAAAAGCCAAGACATGGAATCAACGTGTGTCCATCAATGGACAAATCGATAAAGAAAATGTTGTTTATATACAAAATAGAATACTATAGCATTTAAAAAGGAAAATAATAATCCTTTCATTTGCTACAATATGGAAGAACTTGGAGAACATTATGTTACATGAAATAAGCCAAGCACAGGAAGACATGACCGCATTTATGTGAGAAATCTAAAAAAGTCAAACTCACAGGAACAGGCAGTAGAATGGCAGTTATTAGGGGCTGGGGGCGGAGGGGGTGAAGGATGGGGGAGGATTAGGGAGATGTTGATGAAAGGAGACAAAATTTCAGTTAGATTTGGGGAGTAAATTCAAGATGATTTACTGTTCAACATACTGTCTATAGTTAATAACCATGTATGGTATACTTTAAAGTTTCTAAAAAAGCAGAGTTTATGCGTTCTCACCACATATAAATGATAAATATAAGGCAATGTATATGTTAATTAGCTCAATTTAGTTACTCCACAATGTATACATATTTCAAAACATGTCATATACCATATATATACCATTTCTATTTGCAAATTAACAAATTTTGAAAAGAAGAATATCTGATCCACAGGTTCATTAAATTAGCAAGTAATGAGTTAATATTAAATAAGGAAGAAATGTTATTGAAATTTTGCTGTCATTCTCTCCTGAAGTAGGGGGTTACTGCAGCCATCAGTAAACAAGTCTCAGTGCCTGATTCAGTATTCAGTTATTTGAAGTTAAGATTCTGAACTTTCTACCACAGGCACTATAAGCAAATGCCAAACATAGGGAATGTCAATTAGATGGCAGCACAAGGGAAATGATCCCTCAGTCATTCAGGGCTTCACAAAGGAGGATTAGGTCAACAATTTCCCAGCACTCTCGGGGGATATGGAAGGGCTCAGCACAATTCCATCACCTCTTAGGGCTCCTTTCTAAATTCTGTAATCTGCATCACATCATATTGCAGTGATGTGCTAAGAAACATACAGACATGAACACCTGAACAGGAGGAAGCTAAACAAAAATAACTTCCATCGTACATAGAAAAAATAACTTCTACTATATTTTTTACAGTAGAAGTCTATTCTGTCTTCGCTCCTGCTTTAAAAATAATCGTTTTCTAATCCAATCAAATGCATTTATGCTATTTTTTAAATTAGAAATTGAATTATAGTCTACGGCCATACCACCCTGAACACGACTGATCTCGTCAAATCTCGGAAGCAAAGCAGAGTCGGGCCTGGTTAGTACTTGGATGGGAGAAATTGAATTATATTAAAAAACAGAATCCAAGGCTTTTCAATCTCCATACTAGACACAGTGCCTACTGGCATCTGCAAGTTGTGATGCTGTCTAGTTTAACACTTCAACTCAAGGGGAATATTTACTTCAGCGTAGGAAAAAACCACGTATCAGTTCTATAGAACCAGTTCAGTAGAATCAAAGAGGTATACCTGCAGGTTTTCAATTTCTTCTTTGTGCTCCCTCTTCAAGTGTAAAATAGCAGCTTGGTATTCTGTAAAATCAAAAAAGAAGCCAGTTATAAAGAATTACAACAGTAGGCATAAAATGTATCTAATGGTCCTCTTTGAAATAAACTAAAATAAATGCCACAATTTGTCATTAACCTGACAAGAGATGTTAAAAATTAAGACATGACAAATAGTTAAGGATAAAAGGTAAATTCCTTCCTTTCAGTAAATCCTGAATTATGAAAAGTCACAAATTAAGTAGATGGGATAGGGTTAAGAAAAAAAAAGGATGATGAGTATGTTCCAGATTAACACTGGGTCAGGTGTTATCTTTAAGGAATTGGAAGTTAAGGCCCCATAGAGGACAAATACAGACGCGTTAAGAGCAGAAAGGGCAGGAAACAAAAGAAAACTTTCTAGGTGAGATCAGAGCACTCTATTTTTAACTCTGTTTCAAAAAAAGAAAAAGAAAATCTCCATATGAATGCAAGGCTAAGTAAGCACCCCGGGCTGATTTTAATCTTTATCTCAGAAAGTTAATACTATCTGTCATTTGGATGAGAGATTCTTGGGTGAATTGAGCTGAAAGGACAAAACTAAATTTCTGGTCCAATTTTAATATGATTCTAATAATGTTTATTTCAACAATAAGTCCCAAGTGTACACAAAAACTCCAGCCAACCACTAAAACTACCATTCCGCTGGCTAAGCATGAAGCTGTCAAGACAACTTTATTTCCAGCAGAAATGCTAAGTGTGTGGGGTCATGGACCTATACAGGCTGCAGAGAACCACAAGACAAAATGCTATGAGCACACATTTTTGTGAGATAGGCCAATGTTTTACAAATGTGTTTGGGGTCATGAGTATGAGTAAGAAAGACGTAGCTTGACTTCTTTTAAATATGTGTGAAAGCCAGGCTATTTCTCCAAGTAGATTTCCTAAATCAGGCATGAAAGTTTGTATTTTAATTAAAAAATGGACAAGGGAAATCACTGGCAAAGCCATGCCAGAAGAGGAGTGTTGCTGCTGATAATTATGGCGACAGACCACTACTGTTGTGAGGAAGGTGCTCCACTGAGCTGTGAATCCATCCTAAAGTTCTGTGGGTTCTAAATCCAAACCATACCTAGAATGGTTTGGTAATGACTACTTGTCACTATCCCCACCAGCACAACGATAATCCAAGCTACCATCCTTTCTCTACTAGACTAAAGCAGTGTACTTCTGGTAGGGTACCTGCTTCTACTCTTAGCATCACTGTAATTGATTCTCATCAAAGCTGACTGAGTTATCTACATAGACGTGAACCAGATCATCTCATCCCTGGCTTCTCATGCAATTCGAGTGAAACCAGAGCTCTCCGTTGTAGCCCATAAAAACCTCCATGTCCTGGTTCCTACATCCCTCTCCCTATCATTTCATACCACTCCTTACCCTTGTTCATCATACTCCAGGTACACTGGCTTTCTTGCCATTCCTTGAACTTGTCAAGTTCTTTTCTACCTCAAAATCTTTGCTAATGTTGAAAACAATAGGAATGACTACTTACATCAGGCATTATTTTAAGTACTTTGTATTTATCAACTCATTTCATCCCCACAATAACCTATAATGTAGGTACTGTTATTACCTCTATTACTGATGAAGACAGTAACAGAGATATTAAATAGCTTGATCAAGGAAGTAGAATAATTTTCAGAGCCAGAAAACATGCTTAATTTAATGGGTGAATGCATAAACAAACTATGGTATGTCCAAATAATGAAATACTATTCAACAATAAAGAGGAATATATGCATCAACATGAAGGATTTTTTTTTTTTTTTTTTTT